AGTCTTATATTAAAAACCAGAAGCAGTAATAACCATACATAACTTTTCATGGGAGAAGGACAATGAAGTGATGGAGAAGTGGGAATGATGATTCACTGATTACTACAGGAAAGACCCAAGCTTATGGTTCACCAAGTGTTACATTAGAATGAAATCTTAAAAAGTATGCTTATATTGGGATACATGATGATTATTATGGGACAGATTGTTCCCAGAATCCTAAAGAGTTGAAGATATCATCATAAGGAAGGCTCAGATGATAAACTCAGGGGATGTCAAAACTCCTATTTATTAGACTTTAGAGAATTAAGTAGATATTAGGCTTGTCTTTCTATCAAAATAGCTTTGGCCATTTCAATAGGACTTACCTTCAGATTATATATCTTTAATTCATTCTTCAACTAGTCAACATGGGAATCTATGTATTTTAATACCATTCTTCATGAATCAATGTGCAACATTAGGTGACACCTTTATTTGTACAGGTTTCTGAATAAGGCTTGCTTGATTAAAGATCCAGAAAAAGATATAGCCCCAGATGGTTCAGCCATAAATCCATGGAGTCTCTGCACTGCACGGGAAGTGGAAGAACTAAAAGCTATCATGAAAGTGATTCCACTGTGGTCTACTCGGATACTGATGTCGGTTAATGCTATCCAAGGCTCATTTCCGTTGCACCAAGCCAAATCCTTGAACAGACATATCACATCAAGCTTTGAAATTCGAGCAGGCCTCATTAACTGTAATCATGATATTTACAATATTTTTGTGGATGGGTATCTACCTCCTTCCTCTAGCATCAAAGATCAGAGGCAAACCAGTTAGGAGTGGTGCAAAAAAAGGAATGGGAATTGCAGCATTTATGGAAACTATAAGGCGAAGAAAAGCCATTGAGGAGGGACATATTGATGATGTTCATGCAGTTCTTGACATGCCCATTGTGTGGCTTTTCCCTCAACCTTGCCTTGCAGGCATAGCAGAAGCATTTAATGCAATAGGCCAGCAAGAGTTCTATTACTTGGAGTTTCCAAAAAGCATCGCCTCATCGCTGTTCGGGCTGGGAAGGGTAGGTGGGAACTTGGTGGCCACCATGGTGTTCAGCACTATGGATGACATGACATCAAGAGGGGGAAAACAAAGCTGGGTCTCAGATAATATAAATAGGGGTCGTTATGACAGGTATTATTGGATTCTTGTCACAATGGGTGGTGTTAATATGCTGTATTACCTGTTTTGTAGTTGGGTTTATGGACCAACTTCTGATGAATTACCCACAGAACATGAAGAAATTGCTTCAATGGAGGAAGAGTTTACTGACTCAAAAAAGGGGGATAACGATGAAAAGGACAAATAGGAGAGGATTAATGGACATGTTGAGAAGTTCCAAAAGTTTCTTGTTTAATGAACCAGAGATTAAATAATAGTCATGATTGTTTCCTTCCCCTTGAAAATCTACATGCCGTTTGGTACAAAACACTGAAAATGAAATATAAAGATGGGGAATGTAATTAAAAAAATATATTAAAAGAGTGTTTAGCATGAATGACTGTTTGTTATTTGGGATTAAGCAAACCTATATATGTGAAATTGAGAAATACCATAGAGGGAGGTAATATTCTCTCATCCCACCTACATAAAATTACTAATTTCTTAGAACAGAAAATTACTCATACTAAACACTTTTTAAAAGTTTTTCTCAATCTCAATATTAATCCTTATCTCTTATTTTTAATACTTTGTACTAAACAAGACCTTATAGTTAGATATGTGAATAGGCTTCATCTATATATATATATATTGCACTACTAATGACTTATTAATAGTTTCACTTACATATCAATAATCTTGATTGTGGCATGTAATGAAATTTCAGTGCTGGAGATGAACACATTTTTGACGGTTAAAAAAGCCTATTTATGAAAGATATAATGATAGAAGGAGAGGACTTAATTTACCTGTCATCTAAATTAATTATAGCTATAAACTTTCACCAAATAAACAAAATTTAATTATATCAACAGCATCTCAAATTTAGACAACACAAACCCTTTAATCCTATTTTTATAGTGTTAATTTTCAATGATAAAGGATCTGGGCTGTGTTTGTTTTTTTCATTCATGGGCTCTCAAAGACAAGTTCATCAGAAAGTAGTAATTGTTTGCTTCGCATAAATGAAACTTCATAATAAATTATGTCAACGTGCATCTAAATAAGAATAATTTTATTTTCACTAATTTTGCTCAAAAATATTATTTTCTCTAATTTCTTATTCGTAACACCTCCAAACATTATGGCAACATCGGAAACCTGAGTTGTCCTTGTCCATGGATCTGGCTAATAAAACGGGATGATGCATAGGGTGGGAATGTGCAGTATAATCCGAGAAAAAGGAAATTCAATTATTTAATACTCCCTCTGCTCATTGAATAAAAGCTGCTTAATTAATTTGAATGCATTAAAAAAGTTACATAAATTAATTAGTTATACGACTTCCAGTCCTAATTATAAGACCTCATTCATAAATTATAAACAAAGTCTTATAATTAGTACTAGTAATAAATATAACATATGATCTCTTTAAAACACATATTTCTGAGTGGACTAAAGTCTTATGTTTAGAAAGAATTCAATTCTCAACCAACTTTGATATTAGGGACAGAAAGAAAACCAAATTAATTAATTAATTATAATAAATGTAACATAGAGACCTTAAAATATCCTTACATACGTGTGTGTGTTTTTTTTTACATTAGATAAATTGGTTTAAAAAATGATAATCATAATAGATAAAATAGATTGAGATTTTATATTTAAGATCAAACTTAGTCCTTGACTAGTTCTTATATTAGATATGAAAATGAGCATTATAGTCGGAATCAAAATTATGAACAGATAGCTTTAATAAGGGGTGAGCGGGTGTGGTGGGGACGGGTCATATGCTAACAAAAATTAACAAATTAACAATGTTATTTGAACGTTGACGTGTGAATAATAAGGAACAAAAAAGCACATGATCCCAACTCTTTCCTCGTACGGTCTTCAATATATTACTTTCCCCCTCTCAATAATTGATTTAGAAATCTTAGACCAAACCATATTTTTATCAAACCATTGGCTGTTCCTCCTTATTTGGTACTCCCACATTAAAAGCTTCTGTCCAAAATAATCTCCTTTAATTTGTGTATCCACAGAGCAAAGCCTTTTCTTTTGTGCAAGCCATGAAACAAAGCACTTGCTCTCATAATATAATGCCATTTTTCTGGGAGGCAAGCACCATCTCGAGCTATTATTGCATGATCTTAGATAGCATGATACTTTCTTCAATTTTAAATGTAAAAATTACATAATTAATTTATAAAAATAAAAAATTATTTGAATTTGTTATTTATAAAAATTATTTATACACCTTTTGATGATTTATATTAAAACTATTCTTTTAATAGAACACTTCTTAATATGTGTAATTAATTGAGTTTATAAAAAAACTATAAATTCAAAAAAAATTAAGATTTTATATTTAGAATTAAAATAAATCATTTTATTTAATTTTACATTTAAAATAGGAGGGAGTATTAGTTTTTCTCATATAGAGTATTATAAAAAATATTAATTTTTTTTGTTTAATATTGTATAGTACTAAGATTTGTATTAATGGATGAGAAGTGCTCCACGTCTCTAGTGCATGACTTTTCTTTTCTTTTCTTATTTTAAAGATAAATCATTACTCCATTTTCATCTCGATTTTAAAAATGTCAACTTGATTCCATGATCTATTAATTATCGACAAATAGTACGTACAGCCCTCAATATATTATTTGGTAAATTTGCTTGATGAAGGATATAGCCAAATCAAGTTAATTACATTGTGAAAAGCATACAGTATATTTAGACTTTAGAGAAAATTTTGTGATGAAATAGCATCCAATATCATAGTGCTATTTTCAAATTGGATCCAACAGTCTAATTTTATTTATAGTATAATGCATTCAATACCCTTATTTTATTTTTTTTAAAGTATTTCTAGCATCCTAAACTTATTTATAGTGCATCCATAAATGAGACAATGATATTGGATGTAAATGAAAAATAACACTACGGAATACCAGATGGATAAAGAAAATGGCAATGACGTGCTAAATATGTCATAAATAAAAGTATAGTGCTAAATGCTATTGTAAAATAATAGGATGGTGGATGCTATTTTACCCTTAATTTTATTAACAATTTGTGCTTATTTGTTTTATTACGCTTAGTTTGATTTATCACAGATTTCTATACTCCAGTAAAGTCAACCAGTAGAAGCCTGTGAACATGTTAAGTTAGCCTTACAAAAAATAAGGAGCACACATATTAATGTGTTCATCATTTTTTTAACCTAATTTACTACCTACTTTTCATATATAAACGAGAAAAGAGTTAATTATCCTATGATTTTTGAACGTGGTTTGACTCATTATATTCAAAATTTGATATATCATATAAATAAAAACCTTTTCTCTCGATCAACTTTCTGTTAAAAAATTGAACTCCACTTACACTATTGTCAATATGATTATAAAATCAACTTAAAAGATGATAACCTAAGTAAGAACGTAAAGCAATCTTCAATATGAATAAAAATAGTTAAATAATTGTTTTTATTAAAAAACAAACAGTATAAGAAATTAAAAGAAAGCTTATTTAACTTACAAAAAATAAAATGAAGAAAAACTGAGTTTAAATTTTTCAGTAAAAATACATCCTCAGAAATATATACACAGAGTAGTTGAGTGAAATGTAAATCTAGGCAAGGACATAAAATAATAATAACCAAGAAGGAATATAGTAATGCTATAGGTCTTCCCCTATGCAGATTAAATAGGCCATAGCCTATAAGATCAGCACTGGTCACAAGTACACCAAGATTTTGTATTTAACTCTCTCTCACTCTCTCTCTCTCACACACACAGTTTCCGCTGAAGCAAGAGGCCAGAGGGAAGTGAGGGATCGTGGACAAAGAAATGGAGGCAGGTTCTTCAGTTGGAAGGCGAAGGGGAGGCCTCATTACTATGCCTTTCATTATCGGTACTTAATCTTTAATTTCTTGTTCTGGTTTTGTTGGGAAGATTTATATATAGATACACACATGAATATGAATATGAATATGAATATATAGATGTTAACTGACGAAGATGGATATATTGAAAACGCATGCAGCAAATGAAACATTAGCGAAGGTGGCCATGGTGGGTCTGATGCCAAACATGGTCTTATATCTGACACAGAACTACAACCTTGAAGTCCCCAAAGCTGCAAATACCATCTTCTTCTGGTTTGCTGCTTCAAACTTAGCTCCTTTGTTTGGTGCTTTCGTTGCTGATTCTTTTATTGGTCGCTTCTTCTCCATTGCCTTTGGTTCCTTCTTCTCTTTCCTGGTCCGTACGGAACTCTTATTAATCTCTCTTCCTTTTAAATTTCATCATTACCGTCTTTATCTTCTTTGCTCTTCCTTTTACATTATACGCTTAGTTACATCTCAACAAGATCAAAAGTCTAACTTTCTATTCGCTCCTTTCGAGAAAGAATATATAATATGTGCAGGATTCAAAGCAGTTTGGCCAGAACATCACCGATTTCAAGGATTTGTATATTTTACTGTACACCTTTAGTCTTCACCGTCCATGTTCATGTAATTATAGCGTGACTGACTCAAAGTATCTAATTATATATGCAACTCAGATTCCATCTTTTATATTAATCATTTCATCTTACTATTTGAGCTAACCTATACTGGTATTACCCAACGTAGGCCTAACCTAAATTGAGTAATGGGTTGGAATTGGATCAAATACTACTAGACAACAAAGAAATACCACTAGACAACAAAGGGATCACGCCTCATCTTTATATCCATTATATATATTGATTTTATACCATTCTATACATGACCACATGCACTATATTTTTTTTTTGGGTCAAAACCACATGCACTATATTATTCGATTTTATAAGTGAAGAAAAGGCCAATTAGGGGGGACTGTCTAAATTCTTTGCTTTTGTCTCATGGAATCATTCCTAAGATCTCATGAAAATTTGCTTGTTTAATTTTATACATTAAAGTATCCTGCATTTTTAAGACTAATTTATCTTTTCTTGATATCAAAGTGGTCTCTTTTTATAATATGAAATCCATAAGCAACCATAGTAAACTTCATGCAAATTATAAATCCAAGATCTAATTTTTAAAGTGAAGTTACAATTTTTCTTATGCTTGGGTTACAGGGGATGATATTGTTGTGGATAACATCAATGATCTCATCGTTAAGGCCAAAGCCAGGCCAATCAGCAACATCATCCCAAATGGCATTCCTAGTGAGCAGCCTTGGTCTGACCTCCATTGGAGCTGGTGGCCTCTCATGTTCACTAGCATTTGGGGCAGATCAGTTCGACAACAAAGCTAACCCTAATAACCAGAAAGTGTTAGAGACCTTTATCAGCTGGTACATTGCTTCTCAAGCTTTTGCTTGCTTGCTTGCTTTGACAGCAGTGGTTTATGCTCAAGACCACCTCGGATGGAAAGTGGGTTTTGGGATTCCCCCAGGTCTTATGGTCGTGTCCATTGTCTCCTTCTTGCTTGCTTCTCCTCTCTATGTCAAGCACAAACCACACTCCAGCATGTTCACTGGATTTGCCCGGGTCATTGTTGTTGCCTTTAAGAACAGAAAGCTTCCTTTTCCTCCTCATAACACTGCCGGAAAGTACCATCATTACAAAGGCTCAGATCTCCTTGTTCCTACTAATAAATTAAGGTTCAAATTCCATCATCTCTATCATAACAAATTTCATATTTATAGGGTGAAATGCAGTTCATTTTGAATGCTTTGAACGGTTTTCACTTTTTCATTAATTTGTGCTTAAGAAATTTGACTTTTTGTTTATCCAAGGTTTTGCTAACAACAATGTACTTTGAGGAGTACATTAATAACTGAGTCCTTGAATTGTTAAATCTATTTTATTTTTAATAATATTTTGTAAGTTTACAAATAAAAAATTGATTTCATCATGTGTCTTGCCTCGTTTAGAAAAATGTTATAAACAGTTCATATTTAATTCAGAATATTATTTATACATGATTTGAAAATAACACCAAAACCTGTTATTGCTTGCAAGCAACAATTGAGAACCCTAGCAATGCTATTGTTATCCCTAATATTTAAAAATTTTGAAGACTAAAGTGAAATATGCCTTACAATTGAGGAATCAATAGCCAAAGGTGGAAAAAACCAGAATTAATTCGCAAATGGCAAGAATTTTGGAACTGTTATGCTAAACCAGCAATGTGAAAACAAAGGAAACAACTTAATTTTGTTTCATAGTTAAACTTTATGATAGGCCTGAAGTGTGATGAGTCTTTGTTGTGTGTTGTTATAGGTTTTTGAACAGAGCCTGCATAATCAAAAACCCAGAGCAAGATATAACCCCAGATGGCACAGCTTCAAATCCATGGAGTCTCTGCACAACAGAGCAAGTAGAAGAACTAAAAGCCATCATAAAGGTTCTTCCTTTATGGTCTACAAACATCATAATGACAGTGATCAGCACTCAAACCTCGTTCCGTGTCCTCCAAGCCAAGACCATGGACAGACACATAACCTCGAACTTCCAAATCCCCCCAGGCTCCTTCAACGCCTTCACCATGCTCTTCCTCTTCATCACGGTCGGCATCTACGACCGCGTCATCATGCCACTAGCTTCAAAAATCGCAAGAAAACCAGTCCAAATCAGCGCCAAGGCCAGAATGGGAATAGGGCTGTTCTTCGGAATCCTCGACCTCATAGCCTCTGCTATAATCGAAAGAAAACGGAGAACCGCAGCGATTCGACAAGGGTTTGCAGATAACCCAAAAGGGGTTGTGGACATGTCGGCAATGTGGCTTCTTGTTCATCTTGCATTGGTGGGGATAGCAGAAGCGTTCAATGTGATAGGACAATCAGAGTTTTACTACTCGGAGTTTCCCAGGACGATGTCGAGCATTGGGTCGTCTCTGTACAGTTTGGGAATGGGAATGGGAAATCTGATGGCTTCATTGATCTTAAGCATTGTGGACGGGGTTACTTCAAGAGGAGGAAGACACAGTTGGGTTAGCAGCAATCTGAATAAAGGGCATTACGATTGGTATTTCTGGGTTCTTGCAGGGATCGGTGGAGTGAACTTTGTGTACTACTTGGTTTGTGCTTGGGCCTATGGGCCTAGCGCTAGAACTGGGTCAGTGGATGAAGAAGAGAGGAATGAGGTTGAAGGTGAAGAATAATCTGAGAGAAAATGCCGAAGATTCTGTAATTTACAGCTTTGCTTCGTTACTGCAAGCTCGTGTACTAAATCATTATGGAGGTTTGCGTGAACATGCAGTTTCTTAGCATGCTTAAGTACTTTCTTTGCGTGATATTATGTTCAGATATGCATATGGCTTTGTGTTATATGTTTAGATCAATAAATAATCTTGTGAGCTAGCTAGCTAATATCAAGCCTAATAAATGCAGGGATATTGACCATATGATTTAATGCTACCCTCTCTTAAGATGTAGGGTTTTTTTTTTTTTTTTTTGGGGAAGTACTTGACTTCAAAAATGAAGTTGCATAAACTGAAAATAAAGTTAAACCATATCAAAGCCCATACGGTGTCTTCCATGAAGCCAAGGAAAATAAAAATGGAGAGAAGTTGCATTGGTGACAAATTATTACTATAATAATAATAAAATAATATAACTACACGAGAACGTGCGTAAAAAAATGTAGGCAACTTTGGTAAAAAAATTCTTATTTGAAAATTTAATTAGCTAAAAGAATCTAAATTTGACGACGTATAACTAGAATCTATAAGTGCAACATATTTTCTGCTGTGTATAACATATCTTCTACTGTGTGCAAATGATTTTCGTATTAATGATTGTTGAACATAATTGATGATATGTTGCACATAACGAAAAATATGTTGTACTTACAGATTATAGTTGCACTCACTCGAATTTATGTCATTTTAGCTAATTAAGTTTTTAAACAGGGATTTTTAACCAAATTTTCAAAAAATGTATCATATATATTTATTATTTTAATTTTACAGCTGCACACCTCACCATAATTTTTACTTGAGAAGGAAAATGCTCTTAGCTAAATTTTTATTCATCTCATCTTTATATCCACGAATTTCAAGTTTGCATATTCAAGGTGTATCATGGTATAATATTTATGACGTCATATTAACAAATTAGATACCACCATTGTTAAAGACTATTATCTTTTATCTTTAATATAAGAGCTAATTGACTAATTTGAGTATATTAAAAAAATTAGTTAAATTAATTATTTGCAATAAATAACTTATTTTTCCTAAAATATCCTCGCTAATCAAATAGATTAGCTAGAACTATCATTATTATAAGGACTATATTAAAAAAATGAATAAATATAAGAGACAAATAAACTAGACTCTTATATTTAGGGTCAAAATAAAAGTCTAACTAATTCTAATATTAAGAAGCGGAGATAATATTTTCTTTTTGTGGTAAAGTCATCCTTTCAATATGGTAGGCGTGAATGGAGCAGGAAATTATTTTCGTTTTCATCCCCTCTACTGTCTTACGGGAGAAATCAGGCGCATACTATTCCAACAGTGGGAAGTAGAACCGCATCACACGAGCGGAGATAACATTGGATGCACCGATTTTCTAGCGAGAACTGGACAGAGCGATTTTTTTGAAGGAGCGATGATTCCGGAAGGGTGTGCAAAGCTATTTTTAGCCAACACTCAACTGGGTTTTATAAATTCTTAAGACGACATCTGAAAGTTAATTTCTAGATATCACCTATATCTTATATCAAGTTTTTGCTTGCCCTTTCATCTCAAAAAAAAAAACAAAAAGAAATTATTTTCGTTTTTTTTTTTTTTTGTATTTGCCGAGTTTTGCTTTTGCCTCTTCATAAATCATGAGTACATAACCTAGGAATAAGTCCCTTTCATCCGAGGGAACCGGGGCCTGCTAAAAAAAAAAATTCATGGCATCGCGGATGTTACTTTTAAATATAGTTTTGTCTTGATATTTAATGTGATTTTTATTTCTCTAGTAAAAAATATATGATTTTTATTTTCATTTTTTCATCTTTGTCATATAACAAAAATTTCACATTATTCATAATGAAAATCACGGATTTGCATTAAAAAAAACAGGAAAAATAATAAAATACTCTAACTCAACATTAAAAATTGAGAGATTTTGCTCATAATAGAAAAATACCACTATTTGTCACTCGTAGGAATTTTTCAAATATTAAGAAGAGTATTAAATAGATAAAAAATTTTACTTTTGCCTTTATTAGGAAGAATATTAAATATTAGTATATTTTTTCTCTCTCATTCTCCCTGTTCACATTTATTAATAGGGACGGAATTGAAAATGAAACATTAAAAATAATACAAGCCACACATAAAAAAAAAAAAAACCAAAATCACTGCCAGTGACATATAATTATGTCTCATCATTAAAATGTTTTACTGCTTTTATTTATACTGTCTCTGCTCTGCTGGTATTTATAAATCACATGACTTCTTGCATTGATATAATTTATTACTAGTTTTTACGTGTGAAGTGTTCCAAGAATACTTTGCTCATACTAAAGTAAAACTGATGATGACATTTTTGAAGCTGCGTTGTATATTTAATGAATATGGGTTAATTTTTTTTATATAAATATTAAACTATTGATATTGTTGACAAATCACTCAAATAATAAAAATAACATATAAATACATGAGCATCATAAGCGGAAAAAAAAAAATATTCTTCACAATACAAAAGAAATAAGGGGTGCTGCTCCCTGTCATAGTATTGGGAATTAAAGAAAAAGAGGGAAGAATTAGTCTCTGTTTGGAATCACCTATGATTCTCGAAACAAAATTCCTCATATGTGTTTCTCGTACTATTCTAAACGCTCCTTAATCAAAGTTTGGAAGAGAGAGGCTTTTTGTTTGTTTGATGAACTCCTTTCTTTTTTGCAGGAGAAGGCGCCACCCACATGTCGGCGGACGCAACCATTTGTCCACCACGGACCTTGCTCCTAAATATTAACAAAATTTTTATAGTGAATAAGTAGGCCACTTTTGCATTGCAACTTTTGTAATAATTAACGACACATTTAAAGTAAATAGCAAGTTCAGTAATGGCATTTTTGACAAACCAGAGCATCGCTGACAGTATTTACAAAATATACAATCAATGACAAGCTTTCATGTCATAACTATTACATCAATTTCAAACTATTCTAATATTATCGACCTAAAATCTTCAAGTCTTATCTCGTATTTTATTATTTTCACTCTCACATTCCAACCATTATATTTAATTTCCCTTTCAACATTCTTAAAAAGTTTTTTTTGAGCATGTTGACCCAATATTACATGTCTTTTTGCATTCTAACCTGCAATAAAAAAGAAAAAATTCATCATATTGTCAGATCTCTAATAAAGATATTTCATCAATTTTTAAAATCAACCCAATATAGTCACTTCCTACATTAACAATTTCAATATAGCATTTTACAACTACACTTTCACTATTAATCGCACAGTTCACAAATTATTACCGTTCATATTTAGACTTCCCATCTACAGAATCACCACCAAGCTTCTTCAAAATTTTCCAAACTTGCCTAGAACCCAAACCCTGTCCAACACTAACTAAGCCATATGTTCAAATTTCTAACTATTTTTACACCTAAAAAAAAGAAGAACCAACACCTAATTTGAAGAATCTTCGATTTCTGTAACGCCGCACTTCAGCTTTGTCTCAATCTTCGATTACCTAGAATCCAAAACCATCAAAATGAAAAAAAATAGAACACCAAAGTGATGCTAGGAGGATGATAAAAAAAGATCCTATGATTTCAAAATAATACTTACACTTTTGAACCAGCATCTTCTCCTTACCTTCTATCTAGCATTGCGCATGTTCTCTGTTTTCTCTTTCCTACCAAACTTCATTTGATGCAATTAAATGTGGTGTCCATATTTTGTAATTGATAAGGGCAGTATGGTCATTCCATTTAAGTTGAAAATCCTAATTTGGTCTGAAGTGATGAAAATGGGATTTGCCTTATTCAACTGATGATTTGGAGATTTCCAAGTTTATATATTATTTTTATGGCATTTTCCCAAAAGAATTCCATGACACCACTAATGATACTTTTAAATATAGTTTTGTTGATGTGATTTTTATTTCTCTAGTAAAAAATATATGATTTTTATTTCAAATTTTATTTCCATTTTTGGATCTGCTACGTAACAAAAATTTCACATTATTCACAATGAAAATTATGGATTTGCATAGAAAACAGGAAAACTAATAAAATGCAATATCCAATCTCGTTATATCTCTTAACTAATTATTCACGTCGAAGATTTGAGATACCAATAAAATTACATAAATTATATCTGACGCAACATTAAAAATTGAGAGATTTTGCTCACAACGGAAAAATATCACTCTAGTAGTTATTATTTGTCACTTGTAGGAAAAAAAAACATTAAATACATGAAATTTTTTACATTTGTCCTTATAAGGAGAATATCAAATATTAGTATATATTTTTTCTTTCTCATCATCTTTGTTCACCTTTACTATAATTAATAAGGTCAGAATTAAAAACAAAACATTAAAAATGATACTAGCGACATATGAAAAAAAAAAAAAACAAAATCAATACCAGTGACATATAATTACGTCTCATCATTAAAATGTTTTACTGCTTTTATTTATACTTTCTCTGCTCTGGTATTTATAAATCACATTACTTCTCGAATTGATATGATTTATTACTAGTTTTTACATGTGAGGTGTTCCAAGAATACTTTGCTCATATTAAAGTAAAACTGATGATGACATTTTTGAAGCTGCGTTGCATATGTAATGAATATGGGTTAATTTTTTTCCCTTAAATATTAAATATTGATATTGTTGACAAATAACTCTAATAATAAAAAAAACACATAAATACACGAGCTTCATATATATTCTTCACAATACAGAAGAAATAAAGGGTGCTGCTCCCCATTGTAGTATTGGAAATTAAAGAAAAAGAGAGAAGGATTAGACTCCGTTTAGAATGATGTTTGAAATCACTTATAATTATATTTTCTGTACATCAAAATAAAACTTTATATATTTATCTCGTATTCTATGATTATTTAATTAAAGTTTGGAAGCCAGAGGCTTTTTGTTTGTTTGATGAACTCTTTTCTTATTTGCAGGAGAAGGCGCCACCCACATGTCGGCGGACGCAACCATTTGTCCGCCACGGACCTTGTTCCTCACCTCCACCCTCACCGACGTCATCCTCCCCTTCTGGCCAGTCACCTTCCCTTCTATTTCCACCATTTCCTGTCATCAGATCACCATCACGATTCATTCATTTCCTTCCTCAATTATTGTGGAGAAATAAAGAAAAGATGCGAAATAATAATAACCTGGAGGTTGGGTTTTGAGTAGAAAGAGAGAGAGAGATAAACAGAGACGTGTTCTTGTGATGTGAAGGTGGAGGCCGTCCAGCCGCCTATGACGTCCATCACAGTGACCATTGCTCCTCCATGCCACTTCCCATTTTCATCCTATCAAAGTATATATGTCACTCACTCAAATCCCACACCCAACCATCATATACATATATATATATATACACACACACTCACATCACTGATTCATTGATTCTGAATCATGAGAAGAAGGTTGGGTTTAGGAGTTATGGCATTAAGTACTTACTGAGACGCCATGATGAACTATGAAATCGCAGAGCAGAAAACCTTTGTGAAGCTTGGCAATTGAGAGGCCTCTCGCAGCTTCTCCCTTTGACAAGCTGCTTACATATTTCTCCAGTCTTTCCTGAGCTTCTGGGTCGTCCATCTCTCTCTCTCTCTCTCTTCGCTTCTGCTTTGCTTCAAACAAACCAGAATTAATATGCTTAATTCCCACGCCTTTCTCTTTTCTCTCTGCCTCTACTTGCCACTATATAACACTCCACATAACCCCTTCTACTTTCCATTCCTTGTAATTAATCAGGAATCATAAGTTGTCACAGGGGTAAAGGTAAAAAGGGAACTATACCTCCTAGGTACGTTTCTTCTCCATTACTTTTCCTAGAGGTGTTCACGGGACCCCGTCCCGTCTTAATGAACAGGGATAGGACAGGGATTTTGTCCTGTGTTCCGTCTCGCTTCTCCTTTTTTTTTTAAAAAAAAAAATACTATAATTTTTTTATGTTATAATACTTATTTTTTATTAGGTTTCTAAAGATAAAAACATTATAAAAAAATATTATGTGAAAAGCTCAATTATATAGTATAAAAAAGGTGTAAAAACAATACTATAAAAAAATATTATAAAAGAAACACTATATAATGACTTTACAAATTATTTTATTGAGGAAGGAGATTTTATTGAAATAATACTATAATTTAAAAGCTAAAAATCACTATAAAAATAAGAATTATTATTAATAAGTAAATTGAATAATCTACTAATAATTATTAATAAATAATTTTGTAAAAAAAAAATCCCAAGACAAGACTGGATGGGACAACCCCGTCTCGCATCCCGTCCTGTTCTGAACTCACCGGGACCAAGACGGGACGATTGGGACGGAACAAATTAATTACCCCTAATGTCTTTTTCAATGTTTCCACCGTTTGACTTAGGAAAAATAATACTCCTCCGGTCCTTAATATAGGACCCAATTCTTGAGTTGGTTTTGGTTCTAAATATAAGACTCATTTCTCATATTTATCAATTTTCTCTAAATTACCCCTATGGAAACTCCCTCAACTATAATTAAGTAAAAGAAGGAGAATGGGTATTAAGAAAGATGATTATGGTATTTTAGGAAAAATGTGTCATTTTTCTTATAATTAACTAACTTACCTAACTTCTTTAATCTAATCAAATTAGTTAAATGGGTCTTATATTAAGGACCGGAGGAGTAGTATCTAATATACCTGGTAAAAAAAAAGTATCTAATATAAAAAGATCTAGTTATATTATAATACAGAAAATTATAATACAGAAAAAGTTGCAGCATAAAATTTCCCAAAGTATGAAGCGGGAGAAAGAAGTGAAAGTTGTCAATAAATATATGATTATAACCCAAACAGCAAGAAAGTAGTTCCAACTTTATCTGTTATGACTGACCAACAACATTAGATGGATTTCATGTGGTAGATAAAACAATATAAGTCACTTGATATGAATATCATGACAAGATTCAACTCACCATTTGAGATATATTAGCTGTTGTTATTAGTAAAAGAGCTCATTTGACATTCAATATCATGACCTACGCCGGTTCCCTTTGACAAGTTGTTTATATATTTCTACAATCTTTCTTGAGCTCACTACTAAAAAAAAATCTATTTTCGTATGTTCTAGAGGTCCTTTTTCATCTGTTTAAAGCGGGACGTGGATAAAAACAAAAGTAAATAAAAATTCGATATACATTTGTTTCCAACAAACAAATATATGCCTCATATATTCGCTTGTTCTACTAGAACAAACGAATATGTACCTCATATATAGTCATCCCATCAATTGACCCGATGAGTATATGGGCCCCATACTCATCTGGTCCAATAGACCAGATGAGTATCTGGCCCCTTACTCTTCTGTTATGACTCAACAGACGAGTATGAGGCCCTATACTTTTTTATTTGATATAATTAACCAGATAAATGTATCATCTTTTTTCTTTGTTTTTAATTTTAGATGAAAATAAAGGACGGAAATAGATTTTTTGTGATAGTGGCTTTTGGGTCTCTCTGATTTGATTTTTAAAAAAAAAAACAGATTGCTTAATTCCCACGCCTCGCTCTCTCTTCTCTCCGGCTCTTCTCGCTCAGATAACACTACAAATCATCCTTTTTCTACTTTCCTTGTTATTAAAAGAATCATAACTCGTTACGTCGGGGTAAAAATTAAAGGTTAAAGAGGAACCCTACCTCCTGGGTATGTCTCTTTCTCATTACTTTATTTTACATCAGCTAGCGCATCTCACCATCGTTTTGACTTTAGAAATGATAAAGCTCTTTGCCGCTGAGTTGGCTTTTTGGCAGGGGAAGATGGTTCTATTCTATGTTCCGATTATAGAAGGGTTTCGTCTTTCCTAGGTTTAGTGGTAGTGCTAGAGATTACTGTTCCTTTTTCTTTTTTGATTCCCCTTTTCTTTTTTATTCTGAAGAATACTCATAAACGAAAAGGACAGATTTGGCCAAGAAGATATTTACAATAATAAACAAAAGACAAACATAACTTATACTATCGGCAGTGCACTGAGTGAAAATATGATTCCCCGTGCTTCCACTTTCTGACTTGGGAAAAATATCATTATAAATATAAAATTTATACTAAGCATAACAATTTCTTTTATCCTTCTTGCAGATTTTCCACTTAAAAAGATCCAATTATATTATAATATATATTGTGCTTAATAGAAGAGTTGGATTAGAGTTAGATTTGATATTAAATATAAGACCTTAATTTACTTTGTTTTTTTATCTTTCTTTAAAATATTCTTATTGATTGCAAATGATTTTTACTAAGGGATAATTCTAATAATCCAATACACATAATTGAAAAACATATTTTAAGAAGATCAACGCACATTTATAACAAATAATCAACTTAACTAATTTTTTTAACACCTTTAAATTAGTTATCTAATTCTTATTTCAAGGATCAGTTGCCAAAGCTTGAAATGGGAGGACGAAGTTTAAAAGTTGTGAATAAATACATGAATACAAAGAAACAGAACAACAAAGAAGTTAAGAGAGGATAATGATGTCGTGAATGGTATTTTGGAGGTTGCGTTTGATGAGGCTAAGATTAACCAGCGGCTTCTTAGAGCAAAATATCCTTACAAAACTTGTTGCAGGCCTCTGGATATTAAAATCCATTACAGAAACATGCGGATTGAAGGTAAGCGGGGATGAAAAGTTCCTCATTGTTTCATTCGATTATACTTTTACAAGTCAATCTTCTTATAATTAGCCTTGGGCAGAACACTCTGGGAACAAACCGTGAAACACTAAATTATGAGATTTGTTCAACAAAAACCAAATGTGTTATAATTTTTCTTGATGATTCATGACTCAGAGATGTCAATGTTTATTAATGGCAAGTCGTCTTAGTTGTAGCATCACTCGTCATACTTGAATGAGGTCCTATATTCAAACCTGACATTGATATGTTTGTGTGTGCACCAGGGTTCGAATTGTACAAAATTTAAAAAATCTGAAAAACCAATGTGAAAATTATAATATAAATTTGCTTGTAAATTTATAAGATTGTCGGGTGAATATTAAAGTATTAATTTTTTTTTAGAGATTTACTTGTAATTTTAAGAAATTTGACAAGTAAATTTGCAACGTTTAATTAACTTGGAAATATTAAAGTATTAATATTGTAAAAGTTTGACGTGTAGCTTTTAACCCGTTATCGATGGTCAACGTTAGTCAAAGGCAATAAGCATATGCGACAGTTCGCAAGTGAGGTTAATTTATAAGCTACAATCAAATCGTAGGAATCTTAATTGAAAAACCTACCGCCTCCAGTCCTTTTCTTTTTTAAACTCAGCCTCCAGTTTTTAATAAGAGCTAAAAATTGATTTATAATTATTATAAAAATTAATTAAATTAGTTATTTATAATAAATAAATATTATCTTTCTTAAAACATCTTTATTAATTATATGAATTGAAATTACTCTTAAAAGCTCTTTAAGATGTGCAATCACAATAAAAAAATTTTGAAGATAAAATGAATAAATATTAGAAGTAAAATATGTTAAAATCTTATATTTATGATCAAATTTAATACTCCATTGGCTTCTATATCAAGCACTCAAAGTAGTAATTTAGTAAATTCATAAAAGTTACTTATAAATAATTTTGTATTTAACACGTATACGTAATATTACCTAATGAAAATGGAGAGATGCGTTGCTGACAATTTTTTTTTTGTGCCAGCGCATTGTTGACAAATTATTATTAGTATAATAATAAAATAATATAACAACACGAGAAACACAAGTGAATATATATATATATATTTTCATGATAATAATATAATAAAAAATAACAATGATAAGGGAAGGCGGGGAGGGACCAATGAAAGTTAAAAAGTATAATTAAAGTTTGGAAGGAAGTGGCTTGGTAGGATTGGGATGAGAAGGTGCCATCCACATGATTCCTAACGCCACCGTTTGTCCGTCTTCCTTCTTCCTCACTTCCACCTTCACTGACGTTATCTTTCCCGTCTTCCCCATTGCCTTCCCTTCTACTTCCACCGTTTCCTGCCATCACCGTCATCATTCTTTTCATATTCTTCAATTCAACTATTACACTATTACGGGTACTTATAAACACCCAAATTATTTTTTTAAAGAAAATAATAATAAAAAATACCTGTTCAATTTCGAAACGATAAATAAATGGTTTTAGCATGTAAATTCAACAGGTATTTCTTAATTTTCTTCTATTTTTCTTTGTAAAATCTCAAAATTATAAATTACTGATAATTAAATTATACATAAAATTTACGACATTTTAATATTTTATTGTTAAAAAAAAACAATGACATTTTAAACTTTTTAAGATGTTTAAAGAAATAAATCTATGTAAAATATTTGAGAGGTTAAGACATTAGAAGGGATTATTAGCAGGTAAACACAAGCCCATCTTAAACTTCAGATTCATATGATTCTAATGTAACGTCAACACATACAAATTAAAGGAACTGGAAAATTAAGAAGAGAAATAGGAACCTGGAGGTTGGGGTTAGAGAAGGAAGAGACAGAGAGATGAACAGTGACTTGGTTTTGGGATGTGAAGGAGAAGGCCGTCCAGCTGCCTATGATGTCCATCAGAGTCGTCATCGCTCCTTCATGCCACTTCCCACTTTCATCCTATCAATCCAATCTAAGATCATTCATTCATAAACCCAAGACTCAATCTGAGAGAGAGATGGATCAGAATGTTAGGTTCAGACTTACTGATACGCCTCTGTGAACTTTGAAATTGCAGAGCAGAAAGCCTCTGTGAAGCTTCACCAACGAGAGGCCCCTCGCGGCTTCGGCCTCCGCCTCATGGCCTGCCGCCCCCTTTGACAAGCTCCTTATCCGTTCCTCCAGTCTTCCCTGAGCTTCTGAGTCTTCCATCTCTCTCTGCTCTCCTTCAATCTTTCAACAAACAGACTACCCCACACTCTCTCTCTCTCTCTCTCTCTCTATATATATATATATATATATATCTCAATAATCAATGGGTCAACTTGCTCATATAACTCTAACTCCCCGGTATGTCCTTTTCTTTTCATTATTTTATATTTTTATTTACATCTGCACATCTCACCAGAATTTATATTATACTCAACTTACTGATTGACGGCAACAGACAAATACAGAAGAATAAAAGCCGTTTGCCGCTGAATCCGCTTTTTAACAGGGGATGATGGTAACAGACAAAAACAGAAGAATGATCTCTTAACTTTCCCTTCCAGTTTTAGCGGTAGACATGCCCCTTCTTTTTTCTTTCTCTTTTTTCCATTTCCTTTTCTTTTTTTTCCGAAGAATACTCAAACGAAAAAAAAAAAAGACAAGTTCGACAAAATAATAAATAATAATAATAGTAGTAGCAGTAATAATAAACGAATAGAAAAACAAAACTTTGTCGGCAAGATGAGTCTTTCATGATAATTCATTCATTTTTTTAGAGTTGTTTTTTGCGTGTATTTGTGTGTACGTTCGATCTTTGCAGCCCTTGGCCTTGCTTTAGTGAACCATGTTTCCAACTTCTTCACTTGGGGAAATTCATTTTATATTTCATGCATAAGTATTGTAAAGTTGCTGCAGCTTAGAACCAGAAGAGGAATTTATGTCTTGAGAATATGTGATAAACATTTCTATTTGTAATAAAAATTCATGTTCATCATAAGATTGGAACGGCCTCGTAATGTTTTTGAGCTTTCATGCGGGCATGTTAAAAAAATGATCAATAATTCAAATGCATTTTTCAAAATTCCATGGCTATATTCACTAGATTATTAGACGTCGAGAAAAAACAAAGGATGAGCATACGCAAAAACAGAGGATGGCTAAATAGCTGTTGTTTTGGCTCATAATACTAAAAAATAGCATTGGATCGTAAAAAGAGACACTGAACTAGAATTTACTGCTCCTCAGCCAGCAATTTCTTCAACTCTTTTTTGTTGACCTGAAATTTCACACACAAAAACACATTAACTTGCATTCTGAACAAGTTAAGATCAATTCATGGTCTAAAAAAAGCATACGTCGTTTGTTTGCTGTAATCTGGATTCTCTCTTTCAAAGAAATAATGCATGCATATATAACATATTTCGAAACAATAATGCGATTGTAGCACAAAATTGTATACACATACACATATATACATGTATATCTCTGTGTTATCCCTCAAATATATGAATTATGTAAGGATCTATGTCTGTTGTACAGCTAAAAAGTGAAAGCCATTTACCTTCCCCATTGCATTACGAGGAAGAGTCTCCCAAAGGAACAATCGAGTGGGTATCTGGCAACATAGAAGTACAAGGATCAAATGAATTGGCGTCAACGAAAATAATGATTTATTCTATATATGAATGGGATGCACAGTGACAGATGATGGAATACCTTGTAAGGTGCAAGTCTGTCTTTGGCCCAGGAGGATAATTCTTCTAAGGTCAGAGCAGGTTTTGACTCTTCCTCTCTCTTTTTCTTAGTCTCGGCCTCTGGCACAATAATTGCACAAACTACTTCTCCGTAAGCTTTGTCAGGTAAGCCCAACACGCAACATTCTGACACAGCTGGGTTCTGCACAAAAATTGAGCGTAATTGTTAGTATAATATCTTTCCTTCTTATCTGTTTTCTCTCAATTCTTGTATGAAAAACAAGTGTGACTGTGTGTGCGTGTAAATGTTTTACAAACGCTTACACAAGAAGTTAAATATCCTTCAAGAGAGAAAAGGCATATCTAAAGGGGCATAGTCTCGACTTGCCTCTAGTATAACTGATTCAATTTCTAGTGCAGATAATTTGTAGCCACCAACCTTCATTATATCCGCATTGGTGCCTGATAAACAACTTGCCTCATAAGATGGTTCAAACCCGTGTGATTTACTTTTCAGGAACATAATAGGCCAATGCAAGACGCCAATGCAAGACATTAATTCCACAAATCACAAGTTCAGAGCAACAGAAAAAATGAACCTCCTTTTACACCCATGACCCATCCATTATCTAGTTCGCATTCCTTTCTCAGGAGATCTTGATTTTCCATTTATAGCTCATAAACATAAAACAGTTGATGGGTCATACCACATCAAACTTTGTATGCCAACAAGATTTCATTAAAGGTAAGAACCATAATGCAGGCCACGCCTCAGGTCTGAATCAAACAGACAGACCAGTGGATTTTGCAAAGAACAGAAACATAAACTTGAATGAGTCAAAAGAATTTATAAGAAACTGCACCATGATAAATTATATCCAAAACACACGGCACAAATCACCAAAGCAACACAAGACAATGGACTCCTGTTAGAAAGAAGCTAGCCATCGAACACAAAATGTACATTTAAGGAACAAAAATTGATAAGCAATTTGCATGAAGAAATCCAGAATTTCTTACGTCCTAAAATGATGTAATACCCATCTTGATCCGTAGTAACTGCATCTCCAGTTTTGAAGAAGCCATCATCAATGAATGATTCCCTTGTTACCTGCACAAGAATAATAAGGGCGTAGGTCAAAAAGGATACTGAAAAGAAAGATCATTTTTTCTTTTCTTTTCCTTTTTTTCCAAGAAAGTAAAAAGAAATACTATTGTCCACTTGGTGTGCTCTATCATTAACATCTTGAAACTCGGCTAATTTGGTCTTGGTGCTCAATTCAATTAAAAATCAGCTTAGACGAGCGAAAATACAGCCTATCTATTATTTGATAAAAGCACAGCGCAACGGTGGAAGGTGTACTCATTCATATCAAAGCCAAAAGCTGACATATAGAAACATACTAACGAATGTGAAAGGAGTAACAGGATGGTACAGCAGGACGCGTAGAACTGTGTAATATGTTAACTGGAGAAAATACTGGGGCATCAAAATCTAATTTACATTGTGGACTTATGTTTTACACAGTCTAGTATGAGCTGCTTTATTTATGACTTACAAACAATGCAACTTCATATAGATTTTATATTATATATGGACATATAGATAATAGAACACTTAAGAGTCTAGATAATTTCAGAACTGACAAAGAAACAATGTATAAGGTTCTCTAAGTACCTCAGGAAGTTTCCAATATTCTTTAAACAACGATGGGCTTTTAATGCAAAGCTCACCCACTTTATTTACATTACTTTCACTCTCCTCGTCTGCAAGAATCTTGACCTGCCATAAGTACAGAAAAGACGCCAGTGAAAATTCATTTGATAAAAATGTTCACATTGTAAATAAAAAATTCACAATAAATGCCAGAAGAAAAATCAAAATAAGACTCTTCTTTTGCTTTTGGCTTCCTAGTTGCATCCCGTAACGAGGGAAAGTTGACTTGAGGTAAAACCACACTCACAAACAATGTCTTAGATGAAAACAGAGGGATATGGAAGAGAAAGATAGAAATAGAGAGGGACGGGTGGGGGAAGAGAGACAGGCCGAGGGGAGATTCTCAATAAGCAACAACTGTCATTAATCAAAAGAAAGTCTCTTACATATGCTGACTGACATCTATTTATGGAGCAAGATTTTCTTCTCATGAAGGAAATATAATCAGCCCACTTTTAAGATTTCCTTCCATCAAGGAATCAAAAAGCAAAAGTAAAATAAGATAACAATCAGCTACTTGCCTAGGTGTCCTCCTGATGAAGGAATGTTACAAATTTTCTAAGAAAATTAAAACACAATAGCAAAAAGCATGTTCATTTCTTTCTAGAATATATTTTTCCATATTTCCTATCATAACTTTTTCCACATTTATTCTTCACCCAAATGTAAATCAAATTGCTTTCAGAATATTAAACGAAGTTTTCATAACCCAAGTTGAAAATTTTTGCCCAACCTATTAGTCAGTAAAATCACCTTGTATGTTGTTCAGCTATCTCATCATATCACATAAATTCTTCCACAGTAGAATGGAATATCACAATCCTATCACCCATAGGAACCAACAGAGGGAAAAAAGGATGGTTCAACAGACCTGCACACCAGGAAAAGGTTTGCCAACAGTGCCTGCCTTCCGCTCACCTTTCAACGGATTTGATATTGCCATGACAAACTACATATATCATATGAACACAATGAGGTTAATGTCAAACAGAGCAAAATGAAGGGGAAGAAATACAATCTCAGAGCATATGACACCAGTAAAACAAATGGCATGCGCTCCTCAAGACTATGCACATAAGTTCTGAAACCACAGGATACTTACTTCGGTCATGCCATATCGCTCCAACAGCCGATGCCCAGTGATGGCTTCCCATTCTTGCATAACAGGTTGAGGAAGCGCAGAGGACCCACACATCTGAATAATGATATATGTGAAATATAAAATTTCAGATCTAAAAAAATTAGTCAGCTCCAATGCAGGGAACAGAGTCAAAAGTTCCAGGGTGGGCATGATTTGTCAATCGCCACATGCCTAAAGTTCACGTTAAGAAAGTCAAATTTTTGTTCTTTAATTCAAAAATTAATTAAAAAAAAATCATCTGCATTTTAAAATCTATAGAAGTTTTTCTGATCTACATTTTTAGAATAAAAATATCTCATGTGATGGACTCTGACTTCTCTTACCATAAGACGCAAGTTCCTTGCAGCAGCAGCTGAAGCAGCTTGTGACTGAGGGTCCATTGCTTGGTAACCCTGTATCAACCTTGTATAAATAGTTGGAACCTGTATTTACAAGAGAACTACGTGAGCTCAACGAGACAAGTTCTAAGATACACTTTCCAGAATATATAATTTTGATTGTTGATAGCCATTAGCAGCTAAGAAAAGGTGCCATTTCCAAATCTTGCAGGCATTAGAATGAATAACGTCAAATGACCAAGTTATGCTTTGTTAAAGCATGCTTAGTTACATAAACATACCAATGTTCTGTGGGGATTAAGTGACGCGTAACAGATAAATGCACAACTAAAAAGAATAATACTTACTCCAGTGAACACAGTAATAGCATCCTCAGCCTTCGTTCCTCCAACTGGATAAGATTCACGCCATCTCTGCCAGATTCCTCTCACGCTAAATTTGGGCATAAAGTCAACCTTCATGAAAGACGTTAGATTCTCAAGAAGTTTAGAGGCCAGTTGAACATTT